TCCTGCAGTCGGCGTCATTGTGTGTGTTTTATGAGATAGATGAGGACTTTGTGGATTGGTGTTGGACATACGGGTTAATGTTGGACTTGTGGGCTTGGGCAGCACTGGGTTGGGATGTTTTCTTGATGTGCACTTAACCTTAATATAAAACTCTCTATACATGAGTTTCTGTGGATTTGTTTCTCTAAAGGACCCTAACACATTTATATATCTCAGCCGTGTTACAATTGTGCTGATGACCCGGGATGATGTGTTGGGGCTGGATTACCCCCACAGGTGGGGAGGGTGAGACCACAGGAGGGTTAAGACCTCCACTGAGGAGACACAAAACACAGTTTCAGGGGCCACCCACAGCTCAGCCATTCAGCCCATCGGAAAGCCCATGAAAGGGGCTAAAGAGGGCAGGGCAGGATCTTGCGCAGTCCTGAGACTCCTTAGGTTAGTATCCCTTGGAGAAAGGCAGGCTTTGGTCTCCTCCAGAGGTGCCCAAGCAGCAAGCAACTCAGGCTTCATCACTAAGGCCAATGTCAAAGTCAGACACAGAGGTCTTTTCTCCCGACCCCAAACGGCTGCCCCAGGGCCATCTGTCCCTAGAGCACAAGCCTACGTACAGCCCAAGGGGGAAAGACAGCAGAGCATTTATTGGGTAGTAGGAGCCCTGGAAGGGAGTTCCCGTGGCACAGTGGTTGTGCATTGGGCTGCGATCCACAAGGTCAGCATTTTGAAACCACCAGAGGCTCCACAGGAGAGGGACAGGGTTTCCACTCCCATAAAGAGTTACAGTCCTGGAAACTCACAGGGGCAGTTCTACCGTCCCCTACGAATCAGCGTGGACTCAAAGGCATTGCGTTTTACAGTTTATAGGAGCCCTGGTTACAGAGTGGGTTTATAAGGTGGGTTGCTAACCACAAGGTCAGCAGTTCAAAGCCACCAGCCACTCCAAGGGAGAAAAACGAAGTTTCCTACTCCCAGAGTTCTCTCAATTCACTGCCATCGAGTCAATGCTGACTCAGTGACCCCCTGTGGGTTTCCAAGACTGTAACCATTTACAATAGAAAGCCCAGTCTTTCTCCCACGGAGGTGCTCAGAAACCAAGAGGGACAGTTCTGTCCTGTGGGCTGGCGGTGAGTAAGGACTCGGTGGCAGGAGTAAGGGGACCTGGTGGAACAGCGGTGATGAACTGGGCTAGGAACATAAAGGCGAGCAGTTGGAAACCATCAGACCATTCTGAGGGAGAAAGATGGGACTTTTGAGACTTTCTACTCCTACAGCTTTAGCCTCGGAAACCCACAGGGACAGTTCCACCCTGTCCTATAGGGTCTGTGGTAGTTCCATAATTTCGCGTCACCTTGGAAGATACAAAAGCGAAGGGGTGGGCTATGAGTTTTTTGTGCCAACATGGCTCCCGTGGGAACATGTGGGCGGAGTTCAGGCTGTCAATCAGTTCACTGCCTGATTGGAGGGTAACCGAGATAAATGTCTGTCTGAGGTCAGCCTCTTCCTTTTTTCTTCCTGGGATGGTTCCACCGCTCTTGGATCCACAAGACTGCACCCGCCAGCCTATGATCTCCCAGCATTCTGCATCATTGCACGTGGCTGCGTGAGTCTGAAGTGGCACTTAGGGACTAGTATCAGACTGATGGATTTGATCCGGAGTGGGCGGGACGGTTTACTTCCTACAAAGCTCTCTCACATGTGTGAGTGTCCCCAGTTTTCCTTCTCTATGGTCAGCCCGGCCTAGCACAGGGTCACTATGAGTTGGAA